GGCTGGTTCATTCCCAACTGGTCCGGTGGAGCAACGTCATCCAGGCGGCTGCCTTTTTCTGAGAAAGGGTCTGAGAGAGTCACCCTGGGGCTCTCGTCTTGCGGCTTCTGATCAAAAGGGGGGGGGCAGAAATGGCTTTTTAGGGCTGAGGGTTCGAATGTTGCCTCCCTGGCCCCGAACCCTGGATGGCCGAGGAGCACGAAATTGGCGGGTGGCGTGGGGGGTCGCCTGTGTGTTTTGTGAGGGAGGTGGGTCCCCTCTCCCCCCCCACCCTCCTGGGACCCGGAGAAGCACAAGGGCTGAGAGGATTGGGACTTGCAAAGCGCGCAGAGCCCGTGGCCAGAACACGGGAGGGAGGGCAGCCGGCTTGGATCGCGTCAGGACGAAGCTTTCTGGGGCTGCGGTTCAGGGTGGCCAAAAACGGAGGGAGTCGGAGCGAGGTGGGAGTGCTGGCGACCCACGGCTCGCCTCAGCGATCTTTCCTCTTCCGGGTGGCCCAGTGTTTGAGATCCAGGGTACACTGCTCCTGCCCATGGAGGCTTCCCTTAGCAATTCTGACTGGATCCGTTGTGATAAAACGGCAAAGCAGTTATAAAACCACCACCTCCATTCCAGAAGAGGCTCTCGCCCAAAACCTGTTTCACCCCCCCCCAAGCCCTGAGGACAGGTGGGGATATTTTTCTCCCCTGTGTTTTTGCATGTGTGCGTGTAGAAATGTTCCGTTCATCCTTTGCTTTCATCCTTTCTTTATCCCCTGCCAGCTGTTTGGAAGAGACCTGGTGAAGCCCGCCCTTCTCCTCCTCCTCCTCCTCCTCCTCCTCCATCATCATGGCGCCCACGCTTGCCACGGCCCACCGGCGGCGCTGGTGGATGGCCTGCACGGCCGTGGTGGAGAACCTCTTCTTCTCGGCCGTCCTCCTCGGCTGGGGCTCCCTCCTGATCATGCTCAAGTCCGAGGGCTTCTACTCCTACCTGTGCCCCCTCCCAGGTAAGGGGCGCTCTCTGGGGCAGCCGCTGGCCCAACCCTGGCCACTTCCCGGGGCGACGGGCGGGGGGGGAAGAGGGGGAGCAAGGCGTCCTTAGCCAAGCCCGACGGCCCGTCTCGGGCGGGGGGAGCTCAACGGGCTGCTTTTTTCACATGGGGAACTGGCACAGGGGTGTTCTGCTCTGACACAGAGGAGCGCAGGGAGGCACTGCTGGAGCCGGGCAGGAAAAATGCTGGGCCTTGGAGGGCTAATATTTTTGTTTTCCAAGCGGGGCGGTTCCCAGGCAGCGGCATGGGAATCGCCTGGAGGGAAAAGAGACATCCGCCTTGGGAGGGTGCTCTCTGGACATGCTCAGGAGCACCCCTCCTGCATTCCACAAGGAAGGAAGCCTAGAACCATTACCAAGCCGCCTGTAGAGAGAGTGCCTTTGCCTTCCGCTTAGGGCTCAAGAAAGCAGGCCTTCTTGAGGTTGCTCGGAAGCAGTGATTTCGGGGTGGGGTGGGGGGGCCCTGTCTGCCCCAATCAGAGCCTTATGGCCTGGGGTCTGTTCAGGAGGAGTCTGGCTCGTGGCCCACGGCTACTGAAATTCCCTCAAGGTGAGGGAGTCCTGCCTGCCTCTTGAACTGAGGAGGGGCCGGGAGGGAAAGGGGGCAAAGGAGAATAAAGGGGGTCAGCAGAATAAAGGGGCCTCTGGGGG